AAGCAAAATTTGAAAAGAAACAAAAAACGTTATCAGAAAGAAATAAGAACAGCAAGATGAAAAAAAACTAACTATTTGATTTTGCACAAAAACGTTACAATAAAACTTGAGTATTCCTTGTAAGCAGTCTAAAAATACTGGTGAACTAAGATGCTGCTTTTAATGCAACTTCAGGCAAAAGCTACTATAGCTCCAAAACCTAAAAACCAACAGTTTTTCTTGTTTCTTCCAGTTCAGCCAAAAATTCCTTTTTGCTTTGCAGCTCCTGCTCACAAACAGACATCAGCTCCTCCAGTTCTTTCCGACGCCTACCAATCTCCTCGATATCGGCGTGGAATTTGCTCATCCGACTCTAAAAATCACTCATAATTTTTAGCTCAACGAATAATGCACTAACATAAAAACAGAAAAAAAAAAAAACGATTATAGAATTAGAAAAAGATATTTTACAATTAAAAGCTGAGAAAGAAAAAAGCCAAAAGTGCATCAATTTTAAACCAGTCCCTTCAGTTTATTAGAAACGGTACTCGCTGGTATATTGAAACTTACCAAACTACTATAGAAATCAAATGCAATTAATTTCCTTTCTAGCACTTCGATATCATGTCCAATCTTCTGAAATTCTAAATAGTTGTTACGGTCGTTTTTGAGCTTCTCAACCCGAGGCAGTATGTCGTCCTTCAGTAACTGAAAGGAGTATGTGAAAGAGTAGAGAGCCCTCCTTTCACTAACTAATACCACTGAAGTACACCAAAATAAAAAGGAAAGGCGAAAAACGTGAAAGACAAAGCCTTCCCTTGCACCTGGAAAAAAGAATTAAAATTAGACCAGTTAACCAACTTTTATAGTCCATATGGATAAAGTTAACCTGTTCAATTTCTTCAACTTTTCCCTGCTTCTTATCTATCGTCCTAACCGCGTTTTGCTTTTTGGCTTCAAACATTTTTGTTCCAGCAGCTTCCTCGATCATACCAAGTATCTATCGAGAAAGACTTTTACCAAACCCATGTATTTGAATTGAAAAAACTTTTCTAACCGAAAGGTGGAATAAATTTGAAGTGCAAAAAAGTGAACCTTACCTCAACAGGTTTCATATTTAAAACCTTTGTTATTCGGCCCTGCATAATCAAAAAATGAGGATTATTCACATTCAATCCGACCGATCGAAACATATCAGCCACACGGGAATTGGTAGCTGCAGTACCATTAATTGTGTACGTGTTCCTTCCATTAACAACAATCTGCAAAATCAGGGGGATATATTCTGAACTCCAGAAGGAAGCGTTTTTCAAAAAACTCATTACCGACCCCCCCAAAAAAAAAAATTAGCTTCCGCCCTTTTGAACTGAAAAACTTGAACAAAAAATACCGTCTTGCAGAAACCACGTAAAAATTAATTGAAGAGTCTCTCACCTGTCTCCTAACTATAATCTCGTCATATTTCTCAAAGCCAACAGGACTTTTGTCCTTATCACCGTTGTAAAACGTTATAGTTACAGTAGCTTTTGTAACGCCAGCTTGACCTTGCTTGTAAACAAGATCAACTAACTGACTTGCCCTCACCTAAACAACTTTATGAGTGGAGCCATTGACTACCTAAGTAAAACAAACGAGGAAGATGGAGGAAACAATAAGTTCACAAATGTAACTTTTGGCAATATAATTATTCCAATATGCCCACTGTTTAATCCAGAAAGAAAAAAACCAAGGATTTCAGTCAGTGAACCTAATATTTAGTTCCTTTAACTCTAAGAATAAAAACCGGAAATAGAAAATCACCTGAGAAAGATTAGTAATACCAAGGACAAAACAGATTGCATCTAAAATATTAGATTTTCCTGAACCATTCAGACCAGTTATCGCATTGAACTGAGAGTCGAAGTTATCCACAATTTGTTTTTGCGCATAGGATTTGAAGCCGTCAATCTCAATCCTCTTTATACGCATTTTGGGAAAGTAAATTTGGTCTCGTGATGCATTAACTTTAAACAGGAAAGATATAAAAACGAGAGTTTTTTTTTGCTTTGTCAAGCCACATAAACAGACAATAGATAACACTAAAAAACATAATCAAAGCGTTTAAATATTTCACCCTTCATGATCAAAACAAGTTCAATTATCATAATTAAAAGACCTGCCAATCCTTAGAAACTGGCAACCATATAATAAAGGTAACAAGAC